CCCCCCCCCCCCCCAACGCCATTTTGCTGCTGAAATTCCATATGACGTAAGAACCTGAGAAGTTAAAGGGCGAGTTTTTTAATTCATCGATGAATAAAACGCTTTATTTACGCACCATGCGATGGATCCATCGATGATTAAAAAACTCACCCATACTTAAGAAGTTCGAGAAGTATCGATTGTCAAATAAGGTTCGAGTCTATAGTGAATTCAGTAGCTTGCACTAGTATGCACTGACGCACTAAGTGCGCGGTGTTTACAGTACATTCTTATATTTAAGATCATGTCTTAAATACACATTTAAAAACATTTTAGCTAATAAAATGATTCGTACGGATGTTGTACATATTGTATTACTAGTTAAACATATTTGAGAATTTATTTAAGACAATCTTTAAATATAACATACTATAAACAAGCCTTAATACGCATTGAGTGCGCACTAGTGCAAGCAACCGAATTCGCTATAAGCTGAAAGATTCGATGCTTTTTTAAATCCCTAAATTATTGTTAGGAGCCACCACCATCTTTAATAAAAAGTTGAGGTCAAAGTATAATTCAACGATAAGTTAAACATTTATTTTCAAATGATGCGAATCAACAACGAATTAGATAATCTTCCTATTTTTTAGTAGCATCATTCAGCGGAAAATTCAACGAACGATCAAAGGTAACTTTGGTTAGATAAGATTCACTTTCAAATAATATATTCCGTGACTGCCTAAATGTTATTTTTCAAAAGCGCAACCTAACGTCGGGTTAAATTTCTTATTATTTTCTTTATCTATTACTGAGAGATAAAAATTCGTATGGCTTGAATTATACGTTTCAATGTTCTCTGTGGAATTTAAATAATTAAGGATAATGTGAGTAATTAAGTTCTTTATGTTTCGTTAAATCAATAAGGAGAGAGAGAGAGAGAGATAGGTTTTCAAAACAGGCAGTAGTTTGCTTTTTTACATGCAACACCAGTGTAATTCTTTTGAAATATACACCGACGACCGTTGTGCAGGTGTCGTCGTCGCTTTACAGCCTTCTAGTATCGACAGGTATCGACAATTCTCTCTTCCGTACATATTCGCACTGTACATCGTTTCCTACAATCGCTCGTTCTCCCTCCATCGTCAAATTCGCTAGATAGGTCTTCAACCGACCCGAGATTAACTATCCCAATTAACAGGACAGTCGACGATCCTGCATTTTCAAGTTTTTTTTTATATTAATAGGTCGACATAGAAATAAAAGATCTGATGCACCGACAGTGGCCCGAGCCGTTTCCCCGAGGATTTACGAGACTTTGATCTCGAAATTGAGAAAATTTAGTTAATCGTTTTTCATGAGATCTCGAGGAGAACGGGTCAAACCGCTGTCGCCTGTTGAATCCTTTAAGTCTCGATGCGACGTTATATAAAGTCTCGCATAGAATCTCTTGGTGACCATGAATATTGTGTTATCCACTCGTTGCGGCTGTCCCGGCCTCGGGTACACTTAATCCTCTCGCTTCTCGTTGAAATCAATTATTATTGTGCTAGATAAATAGATTAACGTGGTGATCTACCTAATAGATAGCTTTGCAACTCGACAACAGATTATCGCAATGTTGAATGTCCATCCGATAGATCGTCTCGTGTATCAACCCCTTTTACTCTATAGTTTTTCTGTCGATCCTGACAGTTTCAACGAGCCCTCTTCCAGACCTAACGCGTGTCGCCTCAGGATTGATTCGAACTCGACGATCTTTACTCTGAACACTAACTAATTCACGTTTCTTCTGGATTCCTATTAACATCCCTTACTCCAAAGAGGGGCAGTCGCAAGCGCGATTATTCCTGTATTGGACGCTAAGAAAGCTACTCTCCGGAGACGGGACAGCCACAAGAATGATCGTCTTCATCTCTGTCACTGATCAGTGTGCTTCTCGTCAGTCTCAGAGTCTTTTCTTTGTTCTAGAGAAGTCCTTAGTCCTTTCTGGCGAGGACGTCCGGTGCGCGCCAGAAGTCCAGCAGGTGGCGGAAGTGGTCGGGGTGGCCTTGGGGCAGGGCGAGGAGCCTGCCGGGCCCGCTGCCGCGGCCCGGTCAGCTGGGACCCTAGGCATTCGACTCTTTCAAGCTCTGTAGTTTCTCCAGCTGGTCCGGCTGCAGCTCGTCAGGGATGCTGGCTCGTCCACCAACCAGCATCTTCCCGCCTACCGGCATCTCCTCTCCCTCCTCCTCCGCCTCGCCCTCCTCCGTCACCTCCACTACCGTTCCACGCGACTGAGAGTTTTCGTTCGTGCTAGGACCAGAGGCGGTAGAGTCCGCCTCGCTACCGGAACTACTGCTGATCGGGAACGGTGCGGAATCCGCTGGAAGCTCGTCGATCGTAGACTTCTCTTCCCCTTCATCGCCCTCCTTCTCGTCTAGAATCACGGTGGCTTCCTCCTCTTCCTTGCACTCGCTCTCGTTGGGATCCGAAGCGACGCTGGAAGCCTCCTGGTCGGCCTCAGAACTCTCGGTGGATTTCACCGGGTCTTCCGGGGCCTCCTCGGCACCCGGGAATGGATGCTCGACATCCTCCATTGGTGTAGCCGCTGTTATGACGATTTGTGCCACTCCCAGGCCGAATTCGTCCTGTTCCGCATCAGTTTCACCGACTTTGGAGTCTTCTGTCTTTTCCGCCTGCGAACGAAACGGAATTTCCCTCGTCAGCGAATTTACGTAAACAGCGTGTGTAACGCGCATCGGATTCCGCTAAACTCCTCTTCTGGATAAAAACATTTTCATCATCACTGCAAATGAGAAATAAGCGAGAAAGTCGTTCATACGATTTCCATTATGGAAGAGGAATCCACCCTATTCGATACGCGTTAAACGCCTCCTTCACCGCTCACACTACGCCACAATTTACCTTATCGCCCGACTCATCTGATATCTCCACGACTGCGCAGCAAGTCATAGTATTTCATAGATTAAAATATGCGGGTAAATAATAACAAATAGTACGTATCTACACTAACTTCAACTATATCGCTGCTCTAACTTCATACCGTGAAATAATTTTAATCAGCGAGATGAATCAAATTATATAGAAAATACGCGGCTACCTTGTCAAAATTATCAAAATATATAATATTAAAGTTTCATTATTTAATATCTTTTAATGTTATATTAAAGCAGCGATATGTGCACGCACAGTATACCAACAGTGTCCCGCCATTACTGCATTACCTCTTAGGAGTAGATTCTTTAAATAATCGATACCCCATTTTCTCACCTAATATACCGGGCGCCTCCGGTATATCCTCGAACTGCGAGCCGTAATGGTCCTTTTGGTCCTTGGATAAGTTTATCACAAAACCGCTCTCACCATTCACCATCGGCTTCTCTTCTTGCGATTCTACGGCCATGTAATTTTACATTAAAAGAGGGCATAGGAGTGTTAAGAGATAAATCTAAACCAACCTTGAAAATATACCTATAAAAAGACATCGAAAGACATTTAAACTGTACTTATGCAAGGATAGAGATGAAATCCGTTAAGATAGCTAAATAATTGGTATTTATCGTTTTTTCCTTGAAGTAAAAGATAGTATTTTTATAACAATATTTTTCATACACAAGATATTGTATTAAATTGGTCATACAATTACCATCGATCTGAGTGAGTTCATCGGCTAACAAAAACTCTGGCACTTCCGGCGGAGTGAAGACAGGAGGTGCGGAACTCGGTGGTGTTACATCGTCCTGATGAACATATATGTTATTTTACCTTTATAGTGACCAAATTTACTAAGAAAAAGCTCCTACATTGTCTCTAGGAAAATTTATAGAACATCGTAATATACGATGCAAAGGAGTTGACCTTCCTTACCTGTGGAGTCAGAGGAGCACCATCGTGTCCGCAAGGTTCCACGATAAGAGACGGGAAGAGACCTCGCTGGTCCCGTAGTTCTCCTTCCCACCAACCGTCATCCACTTCGTGCGGCTCCTTATGCAACACCCGGACGATGTCGCCTTCGAGGAAGCTCAGCTCTTCGTCGCAAGTCGCATCGTAGTCGTATAGCGCGATGCAATACTGCTCCACCTCTGGCAGTGGGCCAAATTTATATTAATATAAAAATATATACAGATATGACGAGATATGTCTAGTGAATTGTATTGCAGTTATGTGTATTCATGTTTTCAAGTTTCACTTTCATACCTCCGATGTGATTTTGTACAATGGTGTCGGCAGCGATGGCGTTGTGCAGACTCGCGTCAGGATCAACGGCGTCGTGATCGTCGATGGTGTAATCGACGGACGAGAAGGAAATCTGCTGGACTAGGCCCACCGGGCCTTGTGAAGTAAGACCGCCGGAGGTTGGTCCTTCCGGCTCACGTTCCACGTCCAAATAGTTCTGCGGCACGAAACCTTCTTCGCCTCGATAATTGCGCGCCTTCAACCAACCATCACCATCGCCCTCTCCGACTACATCCAGCTGTTCACTCTCCACAATCGACAGTTCGTCTGGATTTTGCGCCTGGTGAAATCAAATAATGACAATGATAATAACAAAGCAAGAGCCTGATAACGAAATGGGACACTGCATTCTACTTTCAGTATTCCGTTGAACAGCTTACTGTATATGAATAGAGAGCAGTGCACTTGTAGGTGGGCTGGCTGGAGATCATTTCCGGCGTCCCGCGCGTCTCTTGTTCCTCCTTCTCTTCGTTGTCCCAGTCCACCGCCGTGGGATCGTCCCAACCTGCCGTCAACTCTTCTATTCGTTGTTTCTCTTGCTCCAATAATGCTACCAAAAGATAGATAATGTTATATTTTCTCAAAACATTTTTTTTCGTCATAAATACAAAAATTATATATATAATTTAACAAAATTATATATACACTAAAACTTTAAATAAAATAAATTCTTACGTAATTCTAGACTTTAGATTTTGTTTCATTTAAATAGATTGAAAAATCTGTCACGTACCATCTACCTCGGCGCTGTCGTGCCTCTGTCTCTCATCAGTGGCAACTTCCTCCTCCTGCTGTGGAACGTTCCTTCCGCTTCCAGGGCGTTCAACGGTTGTCAGGTCGCTGCCGCCATCACCATCGCTGTCGTAGAATGAATCTGAGGACGGATGCTCCTGCGAAGGAATTTCAGATACGTGTGGAAATTAATATTAAAGGTACACCAAGTTCCTTATCTCTATAATTTTTATCTTATATATATTTTTTTTTTATTTTACAGAATATATTTTTGCTCTTGAATGAACTCACCGCGGCACCAGATGCGTCTGTTCTAACAGATAAGGAACTGGCCGAACGCGGCATGTCCTGAACACTGAGCGTCTCGGCCTCTTGCAAGAATTCGTCCACGTTCACTGGAAAAGGATAAGAAAAAAAATATACATAAGATAATTAATACAATCGTAATATTAAACGGTGAATGTTACGAACCTCCACCGTGTCGGAGACACTCTATCCTTGCTTCTGCTTTAAGTTTTGCAGTCTGTATGAACGGCAGAAAAGTACAGAATATGTATAATGAATATATAATATGACGCAATATATGCATATATATAAAAGTCTCACCTCTGCGCGTCGAATAGCATGCTTCAACTCATCGATCTTAGTTTCTAAATCTGGACCATTAGGATCATTCGGATCAGTCTGATAACAGAATAAGAAAGAACAAACTTAAAACTAAGATTCTTCTTTCTTAGTGTATAGTTTTTACACGTATAACACGTATATATTTACACATTCGTGTAAATAATTGGATATAAATTATTTGTTCAGAATAATCGAACCACGTACCTTTTGGCCGGCCTCTCTAAGTTGTAGCATCGCCTGTATCTTTCGGTTGTTCTCGCGAATGCTGCTGACTTCGCGGGCGATTCTCGTCGACCAGCGACGTGCCTCTTTGCCCAGAGCGGATGCCGCCGCGTGATCGGCGGTTATCCTGAGTTTTGCAGAGATAACTGTGTGATTTTTTTAAATTCTTCTCCGTCGAATAGCGTCCTGTGTTTCTCTCGGGATTTAATCGAAATCTCGCAAGTTTCTCGCGATATAAGTACGGAAAAGTGCAAGTAGAGAGAAGGCGATATAAACTGAACATAGCGTCATCGTAAATAGAAGTAGATCTAAATACAGATTATGCGATACAGACGATTCGCCTACCTTTCTACCGGGTCATGATCACACGGCTCGAATTCATACTGGATGTGTTGCTTTAAGACTGGGTAGTATAAACAACAACACTGAATATTGTATTCTCTGGTAAGCTGCAAAGCAACATTTAACATTCGTTAATCGATAATCTTCTTAAATAATCTTTTTTCTATGTAGAATACCTTTAAGAGGACGTACCTGCTGCGCTTGGTCACGTATTTTGCCAAAGCTATTCTGCGTGGCCACGCATGTGAGCAGTTCCGTACGACCCATGAGAGTCAAGTACTCTGCCACCTTGTCATAAACTCCTTGCTCCAGGTACTAAAAGAGACGACGACGACGTTAGATGAAGCAATTGATGACCAGATAAAACTCTTCTTAGCCTCGTTATCGTACTATTCGCGGTTTATGTTCCGCGTAGTTCATTGCTTCTTTCATATCTTTATGTCTACTTATCGAGTAATATCGGATACTTACCTGCATAGTGCTCTGAAGGTCGATCACAAAGTAGCGGTTCTGGTGGGCGTTTGCGGCGGCGAGGCTGAGCATGTAATCGTTGCGCGCTCCGGTGGACTTCTCCTCCAGGGCGTCTCGTTTCGAGCTTACCTGGACGCGGAAGAAAATAAATAATCTTTCCTGATTAGCCCTATCGTGAAAGGATTATCATATATCAGAGGATTTGGACGTGTACCTTGGCGCTGTTCTTCTGCAGTGACGTTATCGACTGGAAGAAGGAGCCTTTCTTCTTCTTCAATCTGAAAGAATCGATCGCACATGAATTATTTTGCGCTCGCAATTACGTAGCCAGCTCGTATATAGTCAGCCAATGTATACAGTGCGTAAAAAAAGAAACTTCTTCAAATTAGCCGATCGATCTTCGAAAAAGAAAGAAATCCCGACTATAACCATTGGTGAGTTGATTCAGAAATTCCTGGTGCTTCGGTACTCGCCAATAATTCCACAAATCTCGACGGATAACTTCTGGAGATAAGTAAACTCGATCAAATGTTAGCCAATGTATTATCAAATTATTCAAACATGTCAACACTGAAAATCGATGAATTTAACTGTTTAATTTGAAAGCAATAACGTGGAATTCTTGCGAAAATTCAAGAGTACCGTTAAAAAATACTAGTAAGAATTTTTTGGTGACATTAGATCCCAGGTAGCAAGGTAACGTCTAAAGACATCATTAAGATGTCATTAAGACGCTTATGACGTTTAAATGACGTCTTAATGACGTCTTTAGACATCACCTTGCTACCTGGGACTTAAATACTGGAAACAGACTACGCACTTCTCCTCGATGTCCTTTGCTTTGTCGCGTACATCGTGTGCACTGTGTTCTTCGTCAAAGTAGAATTTCTTAGTTTTGTCCACGTCCTGCACGCAGGTCTGCAGCTCCTTTTGTACTATTAGTAATTGGTCGATTGCCTGGAAATCGAATTATCGAAAATGTTCCTCTGTCTGAATATCATCACGTATCGCTAAAGTCAGACGTCCTTTTTCGACATTGCATATTCTTTTCTAATGCAGGAGCAGTCCGCGAGCGCGAATATACCTTTTTGGAAATTTGCATCTTATGTATCTTGAGGCTCTTGGCGTCATCAGCGATCTGCTGCTGGAAGACCTCGACGGCGGCGAGGCGCGCGCGTGCCAGTTTCTCGTTTTCCTCGAGCACTGTTCGCCATACGTTCCACATGTTCCTACAACCGTTCGCCATTCGTCGCCAATGCTTGGCAAACTTCCTCGATCGATGACGAGCCATTGAAACCGATACGATTACTTTGTGAGTCGAAACTGAACCTTACGAAACGCGGACCATCAAATGCAAAGTTTATTTTCGCGCGGCACAGCGCGAGAAACAGATCTCGCGACAATTGAACTCCACAAGATATTACGATTCGCGACATATTTTTTTGCACCGGTCTCAATGCTCGTTTTACTCATTTTGACGCAATCCTATCATTGGTCATATCTCTGTTTATTATTTCAATTCTGTCATATGTACGTTTTGCAATTACCATTTTTCTTCGGCTCCATCGACTTTAAGGTCCGGAATGTTGGGTATCTTTTTGTTCAAATACGCGGACGATATTTTGAGCAGCGCCTGAAAAGCGACATCATCGTCATCGATAATTTCTAATAATTGAAATAATTACGAGCCAGAAATTTGTATAATATTGTATTGACCTAATTATAAAAAATAGGGGGGTATACTAATTTTTATGAATTATATAATTATTATTATTTTATTATAAACATATTAGGAATGTTTTAACTATATAAATTATTGACACTACTATTGGGTGATAGGGAAACTGCTTACCTCGGAATAAGATTTCTCAATAGCGGACTTTTTTATTGTGAAATTACTGAAAAGAAATGGAAACATCCATTTATTTTATTTACTTTATTCCTCTCTTTCTCTCTTCATCCTTTTCTCAGTGATTTGAATTATTGGATAACTTTTCGGATAGAAGAGAGGGATAATAATGCGGGTCAATTAAAGTGACGGATTTCTCGATTCAATTAAACAAAGAACCACTTTGCACTGTGTTTTGACGCATATAATGTGTGGGTGGCATTCTTTGATTTCAATATAAAGCAAGAATCAACGTAACGTAACTTCCTGGTCTCGTATATGTTGACGGAATGGTTGCATATTCAATACAGTGTGAACGTCGCTCCGTCCAATCAGATGGAAAATTTTGCCAATTTTCATCACTCACATCATTATTTCTCTCTCATGTCATAAGCTCATACCACTTCTGCATCAATTTCCGTAACGTTATCATATTCTCGTGTCGTTATCACGTAAACATAATTCCTAAGCCCCAAGAGCAATTTTCTGACATGGCACGCGAAAATGGCTCTCAGGTTGTAAGAGTAATCTCCTCTTGCTCATAGCGCACAAAAACCGATCTATAAGCTATAAGGATGACTTATTAAACTCAACTACTACAGCGCGAAATTCTTCAGTTATTAAAAAGACAATTTATAGACGTGAGAATCAATTATCGATACCGTACGCCGTAAAATAAATTTCTGAAAGTCTCATTAGAACGAGGTGCGCTTGAGGTACGCTGCGTGTAATAGCTAGTTAGTGAAATATTAATGTAGCTAGGATTAATGTCTAGTTGTCTTCCAATGAGTGAGACTCACCGTATGTCCTCCAGAAGGTCGCATTCGTGTTGGTTTTTCGCCTGCAACTTTGCCGCTTGCTCTGTATGCACATTCTTCAGGAATTTTGCGAAGTTCCCCTTGCGATCGTACACACAAAAACGAATAAATTAAATCAACG